GTCCTGCAGCTGCCGCCGCGCGCGCCGTCGGGGCGGGAGGCGGGCGCGGGCGCCCCCTGGCGGCCGGTCGGGACGGCGCCCTGCTGGGGACCGCGAGCGCGCGCGGCCTCCGGGACCCGCCGCGGGGCTGAGCCTCCCGCAGGCTGCGCGTCTGCCCTCCGCCCCCTGCGGGGCTCAGCTGACCCGGTGACACGGGCTCTGGCTGCTGCTCGTTTCAGGAGCCCTGCCCCGGGAACAAACACAGGTGTTCTGCCTACCTGGAGACCCAGGTACCCCGCCGCTTGAGGGCGGATGAGCCAAAGCCAGGAGAATGAGGAGCCAGAAACCCAGTCGATTGCAGAGCAAGATCTGCACGTGCCCACCTTCCTTGGGTTCCAGTCTTGGCTTTGCCATTAACCAGCTGTGTGCCCTGCAGGGGAAGGAAAAAGTATCAGGCTTTTCTGCCCTCCCGCCATTAGGATAGATGAGGGAACCCTGTGGTCCTGAATGCATGCCTGATGGCGGGCACCTGGAGTGGGTCCACCTGGGCTGAGAGACTGAGATTATAGGAGCCGCGTCACGGGGACGCCAGCAGAAGCCAAGAACGAATGGAAGCAGGAGAGCAGAGACGCAGAGAGAACACTAGAGAAGGCCCGAGAGCCCAGACAGAGTGAAGAGTTGCTGGGGGCTGGGAGGCCTGCCAGCCTTCTGGCCCCCCAGCACCCCTGCCTGCCGTGTACCTGGTAAATCTAAATAAAAGACCTGCAAAGACCACTGAGGACTCTGAGTCCTCCTTTACCCGGTCTGCTGGATCAGAAAACCTGCTCAGTGCCCCTTCCTGCCCCTACAATTGGTGTAAGTCAGCAAGATGATCCCTGCAGACGGGTGTGGAGGCCTCCGAAGACCTGGAGGGACTCAGGAGTAACAGACTGTGTTTGCCTGTGACGATGCTGGAGGTGTCATGGCGGCACAGGAGATGGACAAGGTCCAGGAGCTGCGGGCCGAGAACTCGCATGGAGGAGACGCCCAAGAGGACCAGCCAACGACCCCCAAGGCAACAGAATTGTTGGGGAAAGAAAGAGGACCACGATCCAGAGCTCGCCGGTGCTGACACAAGCAAGAAGCCTGTGGACTTGGGACTAATGGACTTGGACTGACAATCCCCCCAGAAGGCGGAGGACCTTGGCAGGTTATGTTTTTTGGGAATCTGGGGGTGGCCAGTGGGCCTCAGTGGCCAAAAGCAGCCTGTGTATGCCCAGCAGCCAGGCGGAGGAGAAAAGCCAGTTTTGAGAAGGCAAAAGCTGGTGCTAAGTTGAGAAGCCCTGAGAGGCTGTTAAGCAGCCTGAGTATGCTGAAGACCGGTGAGTTTCTTAAAATCACCTGTGGGTGATGCCCTGCTCGTTCTTGAGCGAGGGTGAGGAGCTGAGGAACCTGTCCTTGGGGGACGGGTGGGGAACATGGCTTGGGGTGGAGCCCAAGCCGAAGAGGGGACTCAAGAGAGGCCACATGTGGATTGTGGGTCCCCGACCCTTGTGCTTGTGCAGCAGGTTGGCCTGAGTGCAGGGGTCTGCGAGTCGCATTGGTGGCTATGAAGGCCGAGTGTTGGAGCGACAGCAGACAGAAACCCTGAGGGTTGGCGATTACCCCCAGCAGAATAGAGCTAGTGCATCCTGGGGGTGGATGCTGTGTGTGGCTTGTAGCCGAGACTACAGCCAGAGAAGGCCAGGAAGCCCGACGGCTCCTGGTGTGTGACAGTAGATGCCGTGAGTGGTTCCCCTGTCTCGTATGAGCAGTGCCTTCGGCAGCAGATTTGGTGGCTCATCTGCTGGTACCAATAATTGTCTTTTGCCACTAGGTTGGGGCCCTGCCTGGACTTCTTTGTGTTCTGTTGTATTTTATGTATTTTGTTGTTCTATTGTGATGTGTATTATTTGTTTTGTGGGCCATGGCTGCAGTGTTCTATTGCCAAGAAAAACATATACGACTTGTATAGACTGTCTGGCAGAAAACCCTGAGGGCGTGGATTGTAGGGGAAGGTAAAAGTATCAGGCTTTTCTGCCCTCCCGCCATTAGGATAGATGAGGGAACCCTGTGGTCCCGAATGCATGCCTGATGGCGGGCACCTGGAGTGGGTCCACCTGGGCTGAGAGACTGAGTTTATAAGGGCGGCGTCACGGGGACGCCAGCAGAAACCAAGAATGAATGGAAGCAGGAGAGCAGAGAAGCAGAGAGAACACTAAGGAAGGCCCGAGAGCCCAGATAGAGTGAAGACTTGCTGGGGGCTGGGAGGCCTGCCAGCCTCCCGGCCCCCCAGCACCCCTGCCTGCCATGTGCCTGGTAAATCTAAATAAAAGACCTGCAAAGACCACTGAGGACCCCGAGTCCTCCTTTACCCGGTCTGCTGGATCAGAAAACTGCCCTGTGTCCTTCCTGCCCCTGGAGTAAGCCAGTTTCTGTCTTGCCTCAGTTTCCATCCATAACATGGGAATCATAGTTAAAATATGTAAAGCGCTTAGAATAGCTCCTGGCCCATAAAAAGTACGTTTGTTAATGTCCTTAAAATCTTCAGTGTAGGTTGTAGGCTTGTCGCAGTAACTGGTTCCTTATTCTGGGGATTTTCTTGCCATATTTCAATCATTAATTTCAATCATTAATTCTGTTATGGTCAGAGAATATAATTGGTATTTTTTTTAAGATTTATTTATGCGTACAAGAGCCGGGGTACAGGCCAGAGATGTGGGGGTGAGAGGACTCACCAAAGACGGGGAGCAGAAGAGGCAGATCTACTGAAATACACTGCTGAGGGGAGCAGCGGGTAGACGGGAGAGGTCTGCTGCTCACGTGGGTCACCTCCCTGGCCAGGGATTGAACTTGTGCTGTAGTGGCTGCTGACAGCTTCACAGTGCTGCATCTTGACCCCTTGCACCACCAGGGAGGCCCCTACCTGGTATGATTTTAGTCCTTCAAAATCTGTTGAGGCATGCTGTATGGCCCAGATCTGCTTAGCTAAGTTTTCTGTGCACTTGAAAGAAGGTGCATGTTCCGATTGTGGGACATAGTGTTCCAGCATCAAATGGGTCAAGTTGTTAGTTATTCAAACCTGCTATTCCCTGAGGTTGTGTGTTTCTTGCTCTATCAGTTATACTAAGAGCTGTATTTTAAAATCTCCAATTGTGACAGGGCATTTCTTTCTCCTTCATTAGAGGTAGACATTATTAGATGCATGTACGTTAAGGACTGTTGCATCTTCCAAGCAAATCTTTCATTGTGAAAGGAATTATAAAGTACGCTTCATTCCTAGTCAGTCTTGCTTTCAAAGCTTACTTTGTATGATAGATAAATGGTCGGTTTACTGGATTATCCCATCCTTCCAACTTTTCTGTTCTTAGTTTCTTGTTAACAGTACATATCGGATGTGGTATTTTTACCCCATTTGATACTGACTTGAAATCAGTTTAGCACACTGGCATTTAATCTAACAGCTAACTGCGGGCCACTTTTCCAGTTACCTGTCCTCGCCTTTGTTGCTGTAGTCCTTTGTCCTGCTTTCTTTAGAAATCATTTTTCAAAAACTCTTTCCCCCTTGAATCTGATTTTAAGCTACTTATGCAGGACTATTTTAAATTACCCAAGACATCCTATTTAGCTATGATTGATTGTAGTTTTCTGAAATGAGTACTTTTACTACTTGTTAATTCCAATTTCCTCCCTTCCACTCTTCTCCCGTTGTTACATATTCCATGTTACTCCTTCGAAGTACATAACTGTGGCGGTGTCTTCAAGATCTCTCTGCTGTATTGTTTGACCTGTTTGTTCATCTTTGCCCGCATTACTTCCCCTTCCATTGCCCTTCAGTCCTCCTCTGGTTCTGTACTTTCTACCTGAAATCATTTCTTTGGGCTGCAGACCTTCCTTTTGATGTTTTTGATAACACAAAACTGCTGGTGCCAACTTCTCTTTCAGCTTTTGTCTGAAAATGGTTTTATTTTGCCTTTATTTTTGAGACTATTTTCTTTTATATATATATATTTTAAAGATTTATTTTTATACAAAAACTGGGGTACAAGCCAGATGTGCAGGAGGGTGAGAGGATTCACCAGAGATAGAACAGGCAGATTGATGAAATACACCGTGAGGAGAGCAGCAGGCAAGACAGGAGAGGTCTGCTGTGCCATGTGGTATTCCGGCCAGTAGGCTGGGATCAAACCCGCACTGCAGAGGCTGCGGACAGCTTCACAGTGCGGCGCTCAACCACCTGCACCACTAGGGAGGCCCCACTATTTTCATTAAGTATGGAATTCTAGGTTGGCAGAATTTTCCCAGCACTTTAAAGAGTTCCCTGTCTTGGCTTCCAAAGGTTTGTCTGAAAAGTTAGTCATTGATTTTATTGCTGTCCTTCCAAAGATTATGGTGTCATTTCTATCTGGCTGTCCTTACATTTTCTTTGATTTTCTGCAGCTATCACCTTGTCTACTAATTCTTAGTGTGGTTAACATATAGTGATTATATTGGTTTTTGTTCCTCAATCTTGTATTTAATCCTGCTAAATTTTATTTCTAATAGCAGGGTATTTAGGTTTTTTAAAAATGTATATGCATCATCTGCAAAGAAGAATCCTTTGGCCACTTTCTTCCCCATTCCTGATTTTCTTACCGGTTTTTCTACACTGGCGAGGATGCCTTATAACAAAGTACCTGTGGATACAGCTGTGGCAATTCTGCCTTACTCCAGGCTTCAACGAGAGTGTTTCTATTTCATTTTACGTATGAAATTTGCTGCAGGCTCTTGGCAGATGTCTTTACCGACTTAAAAAAAAAGTATTTTTAAATCTCTAGTTCTATTTGCTAAGAATGAGTATCATGAATGTTTTCAAATTATTCTATGCACCTTATGAGATGAAGATATGGTCTTTCTCCTTTAATTTATTAAATGTATTAAATGTGCTAAATCACCCATTCAAAAGGAAAAAAGGAATCTCAAAACACTTTAACCCCAAATTGTTACTTAGTTTTATGAGAGAGGAAAAAAAGAACCTTTTATGATAGTGAAAATATACTTTATTTTTTTAATACAATAGCTGCCAGCAATATACTGGTTCCAGAGAGAGAAAAGAAAATATAAGCATTTCATAATCTGCTTTCATTTGCCTTTTCAAGTAATTCAAAAGGAAATACTCCAATTCTATTCAACTTTGTGACCTGGGGAGTTGAAATTATTTTCCATGATAAAAATATAATTTTGATGGCCCCAACCTTCATATCCTGTAAAGAATGGAATTTTTTAAACCCATTTAGTGTATCAATGATGAATGCTTCCCTCTCTTTAAATCAAATACCAATTATAACCACTGTAAGAAATTGGTTAATCAACAAACTTGATGAAATATGTATCAAAATGTCATGAAAAAATACATTTCCATTACTTCTCATCTTTACCTTGTAGGTATTTTCTAAATGGATGTATTTTAATGCACAGAAATAAAGGCTATCTACATGCAACTCTGGAGAGGTAAAGTAAAACTTCTAAATTCTACCGTTGATCAATTTAGTGTAAGAATAAATGTCAGAAATCTCTCAGCTGTATACAGATTGCTCAAGGGCTTAAGATAATTAACTAAGCCAAAGTTACCCAGTAATAAAATCTTAAATGAATTTTGTCACAAGTCAACAATCCTAATAAAAGATAACAAAACTATACAGAAAATCTGCATCTACATTGTAAAAAGTTATTATCAACTGAAATAGTAGAGAGCTTTCCAACTGTTCAATACAAAAATTTCTCAAAATCCCTTAGGAAAATAGAACTTCCATTCAGACTCCAATCTTCTTGTTGAAGTGGAACAGAAGAAGGGCTTTAGATGAAAGGGAAATGATTCAGTAGTTGTAAAAATAATATCAGATGATTTCTCCTATGTCAACCATAACAAAGTGCAAATGAACTGCCATGAAAACCTCTGTGTCTCAAATCTCCCCAAGATTTTAAGCTATGTCGTCGCTACAAATATAAGATGGAGTAAAAAGTACTTTCTAGAATCATCCTTTTTACTAGAGCTTCTGTCCATTTGCCAATTCCAATTTCATTTGACTTCCCTGATAAAGTAATAAGATCGTCTTTCTACAGAGAAAAATAATTCTGCCTTCATCAAAATCGTAACAGATAGACCTGCCTTTGAACCCCCAGAAGGAAAGCCAAGTATAACCACGGGATAGACAAGGTTTTAAAGTAATGAAGAGGATAAAGATCCAAAGTGAAAATTCTTCACAACTTGAGTTTCAGAATGTGTTCCCATCACTGCTTTTCGGACTGTGGCCCTCTACTCGGAACCAATTATCCAGCAGCCATTTGAAAGGAAAGGCACCCCCCCCCCTTCACAGGAATCTTTTTGACTTTCAGCTCCGTGGCGAGGTTCAATACCGTTGGATCGCCACGCGGCCACTGTTTAAAAAGGTGGGTGACAGCGATGGCGACTGCCTGCATACTGGTGCAGATGTGTCATTTTCACCCACCCGTGCTACCACTCTAGAATTTCTTAACAGAAAACCTGATAGTGCTTCTCCCTGAAACCAGATAAATCATCATACAATATTTAGTTACAAAGAAGTGGGTGCCCAAACTTTTGATCAGCAGTAGGGAGTTAAGAAAGGTCTGACAATGAAATCTCCCTGAGCTAAAGGGATCCAATCTGGAGCTTTTCTTACCCTCTATACCAAGAAATCACTGCTAGGTTAAAAGATGTGACATGTTTATAAATCAGGCTGCTCGCTTCCCTAAAGCAGTGCTTACTAAATGTTAGCATATCAGAAGGGGAAGGCATTGCCATTTTAAAGCAATATACTTAAAATTTCCAAAAGCAGCCTGTGAGAAATAGCACTTCTTAAACAAGTTAGGTATAAAACATTTACCAGAAACATGTTATAGTTTTTAATCAGTCTTTGGAGTAGCATTTAGAAAGTCCGTTTAAAAACAAAATGAATAAATACGTAGCAAGCTTGTTTTATTTTCACCTAGCTCATCCTCTCTTGTTAGAGCACAAATAATTGGTGGTTTAGGACTTAAATTTAAGAACAAGCAACCACACCAAGTGCTATTCCTTAATGTGGCTCTAGGGAAAACTTAACTGAAATGCAATGACTGAGCTGAGGCAAGCCCCTGGTAAATTCCTACTCACTGTAACAACTATAATTTAGTCCAAAAAGGCTGAGCCATCCGCTCTACCCTAAGTCTACCAGCAAACAGGGCCGGAATGGGATAGCCGGTAGTTGATGTGTTTGTCTGGTTTCTGATTCAGAGTGTCATGGGCCAATATGCCTTAGAAACAAAAATCTACTTCACATCTTGACAAACTCACCCTACATCCCTCAGGTAAATTTCTATAGGTGTTAATTTCCATATGACTCATTGTACTGCTATAGCTAAATCAACTAAATATCAGTCTATGTAGTGTTGCTCAAAAGATCTTTGAATGGCAAGGTCCAGATTTACCTAAAGGTCTTCTTTCACCTAAAAATGAGGAAGCAATAATGTCCCAAATGAATGGCACTGGGCAAACTACATCTAACAACACGTTGAGACAGAGCAGATCAGGTGCTGGGTGGCTTCTTATTGATAGAAAAATGCTTGAGAAAGGTCTTGAGAATATCATCCCTCCCTCTGAACTTTCAGCTTCTACAGTGTCAGATGTTATCATTGGTATGGAGGATAAATGCTTGTAGGCAAAAGGATAAATCCATGTACAAAGCAAAATAGCAAAACCGGTAGTGACTTTCTGCAGAAGGCTCTCTTCTCAGGTGGTGTCAACCTTTAGTTTGCATCCAGGATAGACTAAACTGAAACACAAGATTTTGATACAGTAGCAATCCTTTCACATACTCTTAGTAAATATTATAAACTTTCAAAAATACATAAATATTCCTTGTACCATGCATTATGCACCAGTTTGGGGATGACTGATGAGGTCATGGTTACTATTTCAACAATTAAACATTGCACCTCAAAAGTTCTGCCATCTGTACACAGTGATGGACACAGCGGTGAGGGCTCCAGAGAGGTGGCAACTACCTTTAAAGTGAAAAGTTTACAATGGAGTGTCTCCAAATTAGAGAGGAGGGGTGGTAGGCAGGGTAACAGAACTTCAAAATAATACTGCTTAGGAGTGTATATTTAAAGATAGCTACTATGCCTTGTCTATCCTTGACCCTAATCTCCAATAACTGCATGTTCATGCAAAATAAAACTTCTACTTTATAGGAAGAGGAGCAGTCTGCTAGGAAAAGCATATTCTTAGTCGGGGAAGATGAGAAGACATCTCTCTTGTAAGTGCTACTCTATTTGGTAAGTCTTTTGGCGACATCACTATATGCTATTTCAACCTCCTTATCACTGGGACAGGTATTGGTGAACTCATCCCGACTATAAGCATTAGTTAAGTATCTCCAGATGCCAGTCATTCCTTTCGGAATGTCAAAGTTGCGATATTTCTTGGCCACCACCTGCAATACAGAGAGATCACAAGTTAAGATTTATTGTTTGTATCTAATAAACCAGAGACACATATCTGATTTGAGGGTAAGTTATTAATTTTGTGACTCTGAGAAACTGCTTCTATATGAAAAGAAGTCTGTCACTGTCTTTGCAACTAGACATTTAAACGATGGCAAGGACTATAAACCACACGGGAGATTACAAAGTGTGACAGGGGTTACAGTTGTCAGCCCTGGCCGTCCAGGGAGACTGCTGAGTTTAGAAATCGCTGGCTACATACTTTCAAACACACATTCTTTTAGATCCGTCTTCCTGGTCTTGAGCTTTACTGCACAACTAGTATTTATTACTAGTCTATTTAGTACATTGTCTCACAAAGTCAATGCTCAGTAAGTATTTTTTATCTTGGACAGAAAAAGCCAGGTGATCACAGAACAAAATTTGACTATGTAAATCAGCACAGCAAACACCAATTCTAAGTTACTTACTACACCTTTGAATTTTTGCACAGTCAATCCAAAAAGAAATTCCTTTTTCATATACCTCAATTTTAAGACATTAAATTTTTCATTTCACCTACTTAACTCTAGGGTGCTTAAACTGTTGCCTAAAGTATCATTAAGTTACACTTTTTTGGAGAGGTGGGGTGTGGGCTCCTAGTCAGACGATCAGAAAAGTCTCCACCGGAAGGAAGTGCTCTCTCAGTAAAGAGAGTCCAAGTCTAGTGGCAGTGGGGCACCCTCAGGCCTACCTTGACAATGTGCAGTTTGGGCAGCAGGTTGCAGTCGGCTAATGTCATTTCATTGCCATCCAGAAATTTACGTGTCGAAGACTTAATGTCCTCCATGCTATTCTCATCGATTTCATCAGGGAGGGGAGAATTCAGATACTCATCCAGTTTCTGGAGTGTTTTCAAGAGACCCCTCTCCAATGCTGAAAGAAAGATGGGACAACTGTAAGAAGGAAAACCACTCAAGGCCCAAAGTAGAAACGTTATTCTTTGGTCAGTAACTCCTCTTCAAAATGCCAGCATTATATTAAGCACCACAGAACAAGGCAGAGAAGGTTCCTGCACACCTGGGGCTTATTTAACACAGGGCTAAAGATGAGACAAACAAATTGATGTTTTCAGATAAATATAAATATAAAAACAAGCATTATAGTTTTTTAGATAGTGTTACCTGTAAAAATTTGTTATTAACTACATGCCCCAAACTACAAACACCTTGTGGCCCAATGCAGTTCATGCTTGAAGAGAAAAAAATGGTTGAGAAAAGGCAAACCTATTGATTCAAATCTAGGGAATGAAATCTTGAGGAGAAAGAGATTCTTGCCCACAATTTTAAGTTATGCTTCCCCAGGAATTACTGCACCGGACCAGAATGTTAGTGATTTTTTTAGTTATGTCAAGATGAAGGGTTCAGACCTCTCCTGTCTCCCCTGCTGCTTCCCTCAGTAGTGTATTCAAGTAGATCCACCTGTTCTATTCCCCACTCTGTTTCTGGTGAATCCTCTGCCCTCCCCTACCCTGCTCCAGCACCTCTGGCCTACACCCCAGTTCTTGTATGCATAAATACATTTTTTAAAAAAGGGTATACTGACAAAAGCAAAGAATGATGAGTGAGTTTGATACACTTTTATCAACATAAGGAACAGCCAATAAGACAGAGCTACCACGAGATACCAATAAGCATAACCAACTTTTGAAGACAAAAGGTCACAAAGGAATTCATAGTGAAAACAAAGAAAACGTCCAGATCAACCACTAGATGGCAGTATCAGGATACCAGAAAGTAGCCCCCTATTTTCTAATCTCCCTGCTGTAGTTATGTTGGTCTCGCTAAGAAGGTATTTCAAAGGCTCCCCAAAAAATAAGAAATAAAAACCTATTAAGTGTGATAGAGGACTCACATTAAAACTATGAAAAATCAAAGCCTATGAAAACAGGCCCATGAATAGGCTTCTTTCTATCAGAAGCGTGGGGAAACAAACACTTCCACATTATTTGGAACATAAACTGAAGTAGACTTCTGTTAAAAAAAATTCAGCAAAACAGACCAAAATTGAAAATGCACAAACGTTTTGGCCTATTTGGAATCTAACAAGGCCATTCGCTGGCAGCATTTTGTCATTAAAAATGAAACTTGAGGGGCCTCCCTGGTGGCGCAAGGGGTTAAGTCTCAGCACTATGAAGCCACCAGCACATGTTCGATCCCCAGCCAGGGAGCTATCCACATGGTACAGCAGACCTCTCCTGTCTCACCCGCTGCTCCCCTCAGCAGTGTATTTCAGTAGATCCGCCTATTCTGCTCCCCACTCTGTCTCTGGTGAATCCTCTCACCCCCCACACCTCTGGCCTATACCCCAACTCTTGTATGCATAAATAAATAAAACTTTTTTTTTTAAAAAAAAAAGAAAACTTGAGACTATATAGATTATCAACAAGAAAATTAAAATCCATATTATGTAATATTAAGCAGATAGAACTATGTTTTGATATGAAAGGATTTTTACTATATAATACATGAAAAAGACAATGCCAGAATGTAAATGTACACATAAATACACATATATAATATCTACAAAATAACATTTAAAAACAAGGGTACATATTATTAAGGAAGGGGTTATGTGATGTGGTTAGGAGGGGCACCATTTCATTAATGAATTTCATTAAATTTATTTTAACTTTTTCAATAAGTATACAGTATTCTCTTATATAATTTGGATAAGTAAATGCAAGGCAGAAAGAATTAATCTTACAAAAACTATCTTTGTAGAAAAACAGTAATTTACAATGAAGAAAACAAAATCATTAGTACTTATTGGATGAAGATGTATTCTAAGGCTACTGCTTATACTAATAAAGGGTACTCTCACACAACCAATTTTTTTTTTTTAAGATTTATTTATTTATACAAGAACCGAGGTACAGGCCAGATGCGTGGGAGGGTGAGAGGATTCACCAGAGACAGAGCGGGGAACAGAACAGGCAGACTGACGAAATACACTGCTGAGGGGAGCAGTGCTCAAGTCAGGAGAGGTCTGCTGTGCCATATGGGTAACTCCCTTGCCGGCCGGGAATCGAACTGGCACTGCAGGGGCTGTGGACAGCTTCACAGCGCTGCACTCAACTGCCTGCGCCACCGGGGAGGCCCTCAACCAACTCTTAAAGGCTAGGCAACCAGCGGGAAATGGGGAGAGGCAACAGTACTTTTTAAATTATTAAATACACAATACTATGTCACAGCTACAATGATACACAACTACCCTCTAATTTAAATTGGGGAGAGGGGGGAGAACAGGAGTGGGGAGGATATGAATCTTAAATAAAAAGAAACTTATCAGAAACTATGTTTCTTGCCTCCATTTAAAAATAAGAATTAGGAAGGACATTATGAAATACGCCTCAGAGCAGATAATGGTAGCTTTCATCACAGCTAAATTCAGTGACCTCTTAAAAATATAAATTCCAACAGACTAGTAATTATATATTAGGTACACTTTGGAACTTAAATTATATAAATTGATGAATTATAGAACTGAAAAAATGTAGGCACTCTGGGACAGATCACACCTAATCCAACCCTACAAAAGTAATAAACCACTAATTTTTCTTTTAATGCTTCAAGGTTACATCAACTCTTATTTCCAACCAAGACTATTCTGATTTACCATGCAAAATGATAAATCCATCTCTAGTAAATTATTTATTGTCTGGGAAAATAAGGAGGTGGATCACTGGTTTCCTGGGCTTATTTAAGGCATTTAATCACACTAAAATGACAGATAAAAGACCTGCAGCAAACATATACCATGCAGCAAACATAAGGAAGACACATGAAGCCCCACAGTCATTTAGAATAGTTTCCTGAAGTCTGGTGCAATGACCACAGCCCTGTAGGGGAAGTTGCTTGGCAACTGGAATTCTTACTTATCAATAGGTAGTTTAATATAAAATCTTCTAAAACATGCACTGTGCATTCCACTATGATGTTTGTTCTCATTGTTTACAGAATTCTAAGGACAATTAAGTGTAGGTGGCTACTTAAGACAAATTGATAGGAAAAAATAGAATACAGAGTCATACTTAAATGACTCACTTTCTGCCTAATTCTCTCCCTCTACCTCAATCCCCCTACACAACTGGTTTTTCAAAGCAGACATTTTATTCCCCTTTCCTCCCCACCAAGTGGCAAAAGAAATTCAGCCTTCCACCAGCTTGTAAAAGTGACATGGAGAAATAAAACCTGACTTTAACTAAGAGAGTTTAAAGAAGCAGGCAGCAAGAGCACCTGGGCTACGAGGCTAGATAGCTTTATGAAAAGAAAAGTCACCTGCATGGAGGAAAGGCAGAACAGAAAGGACACTGTCTGTGGATCAGAAGACTCCAATGTAACTGTTTACTCAGTTTATAAAATACTTGGATAGGAACATTAGTCAGAAAAAAAAAAAGCCAATTACTAAGGAAAATAATTCCCCCAAACCAGGCAGCTACAGGAACACATTTAATACATGTAAAGGAGGCCTGGACACTAGGTTTTTTCCCTTCACTGTAGAAAAAAAAATCCCATAGAGTGAATTCTATTTCCCAAACCATTGCAATTCAATAACTAAATTATAAAATACTGCAATTTAAAAATGTAATAGTCAAATAAATACCCCAAACACCTTGGAAATCTGCCTGCTAAAATAACACAAGGAAATCAGCAGGTGTTTATAGATTTTTTTTTTTTAAAGATGCTTATTCTTGCTTCACCCACACTAACACTTTTCCCCTTTGGTATTCTTGTTCATTTTCTGCCATAAATTTCTGTCCCAAAACAAAAACAAAACAAAATACCACACTCAATCTATCAAATTTATCTTAACCTGTGATGAGCTAAAATCTCTTTAGAGCTGGCTACATGTATAAATTCTGATTAAACACTAATCCTTTCTATAGACAGCTTTCCCCCAGAGAGAACAGGGCTTACCATCCCAAAGAGAAGAAAAAGGGAATTCTTTAATGGTGGCGTTACAGCGAGGCTCGCTAAATGGGACCTCTCTCTAAGAGGCTTCCCTTCACTATATATGAGTTTAATAAATGAGATGACAGTGTTCTTTAATAAATAAGAACTGCATCTATTCCACCTAAACAATGCTCACCATGAAAATATGACCTGAAACTCAAGTCCTAGTTTTAGGATAAAGAGAAATTAGGAAGGTTAATGAGTGTAAATGCCCTGTTGGAGCAGTTACAAAATTTGTGTTTTAAGGGTTATCAGTTCCAAATCCACTCAGGCTGATTTAGGCTGCTGGCACTCAACAATAAATAAAAAATACAATAATATTTTAAGTTAAGCTCTATTAATCTACTCCCACCACAACCACACAATCCATGTTTTCAATGCACTGTTAATTCTTTGCATAGATCCCTTCACATTAACTTCTCAGAAGAACATGAGAACCAATTCAATGTATATTTTATCATAGGCATATGCTAGGTATTGTCCCAATAGACTGAAACATAGGAAAACAGCAAAAGAGATTTATCATCAAATCTCTGACCGAGTCTGAAAGCCAGTTTTCAATACTTATAGGAATGACAAGACTCCAAAGTATTCATTTAAAATCACTGTGATGAAGGCCTCCCCTGGTGGCTCAGCAGTTGAGCGCTGGGCTGCAAAGCTGCCCGCAGCCTCTGCAGAGCCAGTTTGATCCCCAGCCGCCTGGCGAGGGTTCCACATGGCACAGCAGACCTTTCCTGCTGCGCCCGCTGCTCCCTTCAGCAGTGTATTTCATCACTCTGCCTGTTCTGTTCCCCGCTCTGGCTCTGGTGAGTTCTCCCACCCTCCCAAGCTTCTGACTGTACCCAGTGCTTGTATAAATAAATAAATCTTTAAAGAAAAAAAAAAAATTAAAAAAAAAAATAAAATAACTGATGATAGGGTTTTAGGGGTTATGAATTGGAAGGGTTTCATCTTGTGGGGTTTTTTTGGGGGGTGGGGGTTGCATTTGTGATTCATGTTATTTGTTTTTTACCTTGATTAGCCTCTGGTCTTGAATTCTTGATATATGCAGAAAATTTGGCAAAGATGTCCATTCCAGCAGTGTTTGACTCTGGGTGTTTGGGTGAAAGCTTTAAGTACCTAAATAGAAAAAGTGAGAATGGATTATAGATCCTCCAAAGATACACTAGCATAAGTTCTCTCAATCAACAAACCAATACTGGGCATCTTTTATCAGTTATTATTCTAAGAAATGCCATCACCTATTTTCCATGATATTTTCAAGATGTGTTTTTTTCCTTAGGAAGCAAAGCTCTGCACAGTGTTTTTGTTCACATATTGATATTCTTGGCAACCAAAGGGCACCCACACTCCATCCCCATTTTATAAGTCAGACTGCTGGGGAAACACTCTACTTGCTCAGAGACCTGTGCCAAGTCAGCGGGCGTCTGGGCATCTTAGAGAGCTCCAGAGCAGCACTGTCAAGAGAACTTTCTCTCATAGAAAAATACTGCATCTAAATCGTCCAAGATGGTCACCATTAGTGATGTGTGGCTATTTGAATATTAATTTAATCACAGAATCAAACATTTGCTTCCTTGGTTGCTCTAGCCACATTTCAAGTATAGCACTTTCTCGAATAGCAGTGCCAAGTTTGGTGTGTGGGCACTGAGCCAGTCCTGTACAGCAGTTCCAGAGAAGCTGGTCAAGCATCTTGATCATCCACAGGGGGTGAAGGACAAAAATAACAGGAGGCAGATCACTCACCCCAAGTCTACACTCAGAATTTTCCACACACTTCCCAGATACTAGACTGTAAAGGTGGCGCTGAGCAAAAGCGAATATATCAGGAATTCTGTTAACTGCTCTGTTGTGTTGTTACAGTTTTTCTACTTTGAAAACAGACATGCAAAACACAACAGTTTAAAAAAAAAACCACATACAAATGTGTGTTTTATACATTTAAATTGTAAACACATATAGTTAGTGTGTATTTCTTCCTCAAAAATGGAAAGTGGGGCCTCCCCGGTGGCACAGCGGTTGAGCGCTGGGTTGCAAAGCTGCCCGCAGCCTCTGCAGCGCCAGTTCGATCCCCCGGCCACTGGAGGGTCCCACATGGCGCGCAGACCTCTCCTGCCACCTGCTGCTCCCCTCAGCAGTGTACGTCGGTCCTTCTGCCTGTTCTGCTCCCCGCTCTGGCTCTGGTGAATTCTCTCATCCTCCCGCGCTTCTGACTGTACCCAGTGCTTGTATAAATAAATAAATAAATAAATAAATCTTTAAAAAAAAAAAAAGTTAAAAAAAGAAAAATGGAAAGTGCCTGTGAAAAAGTTCAACTCCTCAGCTCCAGGGGCCAGAGCTAGAGAGAGTCTTAGCATCAATTTATGGAAGATTCACCTGCTTAAATGCTCTGCAAAAATTCACTGGAAATTTGACTTGGAGGAAATAAGACTTTGGGAAAAATCTAACATTGAACTAGTTATTTAGATTTAGTCATACATTTTAAGATGCTGTGTTGCATTTACAATCAAAAATAAAAGGGGGGTATTTTTAGAAAGAAATTTAGTTCAGTTGCAAGTTGTACTTCAGTTCAGTTTTCATATTCCTATTTTTAATGCTATTTTGAATTCTCCTAAAAATTGGACATAAGGAGAATATAAAGTATTTATTGAACACCTATATGCTCAGCTTACCTTTCTTTTTTTAAAATTTCTTTTTTTTAATTAATTTTTTAGATTTTTTTTTTTTTAGATTTATTTATGCATACAAGAGCTGGGATACAGGCCAGAGATGCGGGGGTGTGTGTGTGTGTGTGTGTGTGTGTGTGTGTGTGAGAGAGAGAGAGAGAGAGAGGATTGAGTGGGGAACAGAAATAGAGTGGGGAACAGAACAGGCAGACTGACTGAAATACACTGCTGAAGGGAGCAGCAGGCGACACAGGAGAGGTCTGCTGCACCATGTGGCAGACCTGGCTGGCCAAGATTGAACTCGTGCAGCAGAGGCTGCAGACAGCTTCATAGGTTGTGTCTTAACCTCTTGCGCCACCAGGGAGGCCCTCAACTTACCTTTCTAATACCTCTCAATTCTTAACTCTTTCTTATAAACAAATTTATATAACAAATGTTTCAATGTGTAACTATAGTAAATAAATTTCACTTGAGTTTTTACATCTGCAACATGTAAGTAAATATTTTTTCCTAACTACAGAAAACTCACAATCTCTCTCTCTCTCCGCCCATCCTAGCGCCTACCTCCCTTTTTATTTCCTCCTCTACCTGGGCTGAAAGAGTTAACCTCAGGTTTAACATTCCTGGACTTCTCTTGGGTATAAAAAAAACCAGGCTTCAGTTTAAATGTTTTCACAGCTTGTAATACAGAGCCCTCATTGACTCATTCCAAACAAAAAATAGTGCAATGAACATAAGTACCTCTTCAATACATCTACGCCTTTCTCCAGCCAAGTTTCCAAAATTCCTCTACTTTTACCCAACCAATATTTAGCTGTACCTGCTTTTGCTAGTGAAATAAACATCATAATTCTCAAAATAACTTCCAGGAAGACAGGACTGAATTAAAAATTATTTGCATATCGATTCCTCACACATACATTCATTATTCTGTGTGTCAGGCGTCACCCTGAGGATCTAAGATGACCAAATTGAAGCAAACTTACTAAACATCTATCATTTAATGAGCAAGACTTGCAGTCAGCATATCCTTATTCATATGGAGTAAGGATATGGAACACTGTTCTCAAAAGCAGGTTAAACTGGTCCTATTCTTCCCCTCCATGACAAACCATTACATTTATGCTATTACTTTAATGCATACAAAACAATGTCTCCAGGAGACCATTCACCTCAATCTCTCATTTTGCCTAAAGGGAAGTTATCGTCCAGAAAGCATACATACTTGGCTCCAAGTGACTAGCTAGTTAAAATTATTAACTAAAACTCAGATTTCCTGCCCCTAGGCAGGGTGTTGCTTTTGCATTTGTTTCATTGCAGATCTGATCCTAACAGATAAATACTAAGCCACAGGTCCAAGATCAGCTGCCAACTTTTTTTGCATTCCCAAAACACTTGATTTTAATAAACCCACCCATTATTATAAGTTTTAGCACACAGCTTGAAAAAGCAATAATTTCCCATCATTGTATTTGTTTTAATGTTTAACAAAAGGAAGACAGATAACTAATTAAAGGTTGTGTATCAACAACAGAATGGATGTGAGCATCAACTGAGTCTTTGAGATCAGCCTTTTATTCCACATTTATTCCTCAGACTATTAATGGTAGCTAAGAATATTTCTATCCCTTTAGTAAGACCTCAGACTTTTTCTCCTTTCTCATTTAATGTAAGAATAAAGACTGGTTATATTGCCCATGAAATTATCCTAGTAAATCCTGCTTTCATTGTCTGTATTTCTCATTTTTAAAAAAAGGCTTATTAACATTTTATAGAGCTCTCCTCCAAAATTATCTAGCTTCTTTCCATTAGTAAGTTAGTCAAGTATCCAAGTCTGCTTCAGTTAGAAATACAAGTTTCAAAGCTTTTTTAAAAAACTTTTTTTTCTGGCAAAGTAGTTCCTTCATTTAGAAACTAAAAATAAATAAATATTTTCCCCAGAGGAGAAGAGAAAGTTTCTTTGAAACCTACAGTTACACCAAGCAGCAAAAGCTCCTTCATTTAAATGTTTCATTAGTCTCTAAATTCTAAACGACTCTAGACAGTTGACCGTGTATGTAAGTCATGATTAAATCAGGAAGTACTCGAATAAAGGCACTCTGTTCTCAGTTATCATCAAATGCCAAAACCATGTTATTAGAAATGCTAGATTCTAGCCTACCAGTTCGTACACCTCTTCTGCTTTCTCCTAACCCCATCTGGAAAACAGAAGGCTAACAATCAGGGTATGAGAAGCCATGGACAAGGACCTGAAGACCTCCCTGTCCTAGAGGATGGTCCTGTATGCCCCAAGAAGGATAAGGGGAAAAGGGGTGCATGTGCATGCGGTGGTCCCAGAAACACCTCCTCCTCCCACTCATCCTCTAGAAACAATTCTGCATGACAGAGAGTATGCTGATTGGTCAGCATCTCACATTATGGGTTCTAGAGCCCACGAAGGGGATAGCACCCCCAGTCTAAACATACTGATCCAATGCATATAAAAAATAAAAAGTCATCAGAAGTTAAACCTCATCTGCTTTTTAAAAAGGATCATTTAAATTAGGTATGACAACCACCTTCAGTCCCACTTGCTCCTCACAGTCAAGGAAACTATCTTTAGTGTCTTTCCTACCTCTCCTCCTGAGTTAGTCTTCAATTTTATACTCACTAAAGCACAATCCCAATTAAAGACATATATTACCTCTTTTATAAAACCCAAAGTAAACAAAATGAGAAACAGAACAGATGAAACATATGTTTTTGAAGTTATGCAGACCCAGCTTTGAAAAAGTTAAATGTACCAGCTATGCTACCAGTAACTGAATTCTGGAACAAATTATTTGGATTACTCATCTTCAACTTCTTCATAAAGCCTTTGAGAGGATTAATTGAGATAATCCACAAAGTAATCCACAATGACAGTGCATGACACATAATTAGCACTGGAATGTTAATTAATAGCAACAGAGGCATTAGCAACATCAAAATATGCCCTTCTGCATAACTGAAATTTTAAAACTTTATTTAGAAGCTCTGTTCCAAATATAAACTACAACATAAACACAAGGAAAATACTCCTAGAGAGAAATGAACACATTGTAACCCTTTCTAACAGAAAGATCACTAGATTTTAAATTAGTAAAACTGAAAGAGAAGACCATCTCTGGTTAGAGTATCTCTATGAATATGCACAAGCTAAATGTTGATGAAATTGCATTCAGAAATCAAAGTGAAAATCTTTCTTGTCAATGCCCAATTCAGAAAGATAAGATGTTTTACACAACAAAGCAAAAACAATTATAAACCAGAGACATCCTGCAGGGGATGAGGCGGGAGAGGGATGAGAGGGAGGGAGGGAGGAAGCACAGGGGACTGTGGTGATGGTGCACGGTGCCTTGAGGAAGGAAATTCTAGGGGGACTCAACCTGAGGGGGTCGGGGGAAGCAAATATTGTCTAAAAAATGTAAAAAATGATAAATGTAAAAATTTTTTTAAAAGTCATTTTGATTTTCTTATTCATGTCTTTGTTTCCTAGAATTCCAAATGCCAAATATTTATATTTTCCAAAATATTTCACACAAGCATGTGTTACTTACTGAATCATGAAATAATAAAAGCAATCAACAAATTTTCCAAAATTAAAAAAAAAAGATGTTTTACAGAACACTGCTTGCCAAGAAATCAAATTATTTTGATGCTAGTTCTACTCTTTCCTCACTGTCTATACCTCTCAAAAAAAATAAGGGGTTATGAAAATTCCTTATTTATGTGGTTGTTAATCCTGCTGCTGTTGTTGAAGAACAGAAGAGAGTATGGGAAAACAGTCCATTGACTTAAATTTGACTGTTAACAACACACTAATTTAAAAAATGTAAATATTCTTGAAAGGATTTGTACAGACAATGCTTTAAAACAAAATGCAGTTTCCTTTACAGAGAATGAATAAGTGATTTAAACTGCCTATGATCTAACATTGACAGATGATCTACAGTTACATGGGAGGAACATCACTTTCATCAGTATCTGAGGACAAGGTAGCAAATATAGAACTTTCTTCGGGGTTGACAGACTTCTAAAGAATAAAAGGGAATCTACTAGGTTCTATGATGCATGTTCATAATAGTTTCTTACTGATATGTGTAAAACTTCAATTTGTATTTTACGAAGATCCAAGCTTTGATTTATTGTACTCTAATTATACACATATTCATGGCCTGGAGGAAAAGTCAGGATACAACAACTTTATTGGGGATGGAAGGAAGGTTTGGGTGCCTAAAAAGTAGACATAAAAGAAGTCTGAGACTCTTAAGTAGAAAGAGAGAAAGGCAGAAAATAAGCTCTAAGCACACAGGATTAAGATGAAATTTTAGAAATGAGAGATTGCTAAAAACAGAGGGCAATTGTGTTCACAAAAGACGGGCAAGCCATAGACACAGCCATATTCCTACTAGCAGCCCTGTGGCCTACCACCCCAACCCTGCCTGTCACATGCTCCAGCCCCACACCTTCACGTTCCCAAAAAGGAACACTACTGAAAATTATTCTCCTGCCTCAAATGCCTGTCACACCTTCATTCACCTGCCTAATATCACTTTGTTTTTAAAATAAAGTTTAATTCAAGTGTTATTTCTTCTCTAAAACCTTTCCTGAGTCCACTCACTTTCCCACAACACCATGCTGCGTCCATATTTTACTGTGCCCTGTGAGTGCAGGGCTGGTGTCTCACGCGCTTCTGTATCCAAAGAGCTTTGTAGTCCACGCAGTGTTTGCTGAATGAATGAATGGGATATTGAGTAACCAATCATTTTAGTGCCCTCAGATCCAATAACCCCATTCCTGGGAAATGTATCTGGATATGGAGGGTAAGAGTCAAGTCAACTAGCAAGAAAGGCTTGGGCCAGAAGAAAAGAGTAATTTGTGTTTTCAGGATAATGACACTGGAAAAGCCTGACAGAAACCAATTATGTTTTGAACCCATGCTAAGAGTACATTATAATGCAAAACTGCATAGTTGCGATATAGGTCACTGTTGTAGTATACATGTTCCCCAATTTCCTCAAGTGTACCTCACATGATAGCAAATAGCTGGGTACTTTAAAATTGCTAACTATGTGGATTACTATGCAGGATAGTAATCCTGGGACACCTTAAAAAGTAAATAAATAAAAACTGAATCCCAGGACACCTTCTGAAAATAAAAAGTTGGTTCCCTTGGGTGGTAGTTTTAGAAAGTTACCTTTAAATGGCCTGACAGGAAATCCTCAGAAGCCTGTACCACACCCCTGCTTAGACATTCTGGCTAGGTTCACTGACCCTGCCTTTCTTCACCTCTTCTCCTCCCTAAACATCTCTCTCAGTTTGGGACCTATATCCCTCAGATAACCAGTCCTTCCTGACTTATCTCACATGTCCCAAACCTACTTTGACCAGATTGCAACCTTTCTGGGTATGGCTAATTGGCCTAATCAGAGGTCAATTCTGAATGTGTGTAGCTTTATTATAATGAATGAAGAGAAGCCCTAGTCATTTCAACTTAATGTTGTGAGAATTTGGCTCAAGTTCAGATAAGACAAAGCTTTAAAGAGATGGGAATATTTCCATGCTTATTTTCTTTGATACTCACTTGGGAGGGCACAAGACTTCTTCAAGAAATTCTTCAATCTTATTTACATCCGTTTTGACTTCATTGTTGAAAGTTATAAATGGTGGGTGGGTCCCGGGAGCCAAGTTCTGCAAGTCTGCAGGCTTCCTGTTAGGCAAAATAGTGGTCAAAACCATTTTTTACTTTAACTGAGAAGGCAACAATACTCTAAATTTTAAAGTATGTAAAAATAAATAACAGTATTTTTTCCACTACTTATAACAGCTGCCAGAGTACCCTAATAAGAAGCAAATTCCACAAAGCATATCATTTAAAGAAAATTAAGTCTTTGATTTTAACCAAAAAACAAAGACCTTCATTCTTACTCTACATTTAACTGAGCTGCTCATTAGAAATGGTGGTAAAATGGGGGGGAGGGGAAGAACGGCAGGAGGGACAAAGAGTTAGTAAAATCATCTCTAATCTCAATTCTGGCCCCAACTCTGTGTTAAAATGGATTAACTGTAACATCTCCAGGCCTTCTTTATTTGGTAAAATAAGGAAGAAGCGCAACTAATTCCGACAGTGCTTTTCAATGATAAAATTCCAAATTCGGGTGCTATCTCCTTTCCATTTTCCTACAAGCCCAGACTTAATAGGGGGGAAAAAAATCACCAGATTTGACCATCTAATAATAAAATTACTTCAATATATAAAATATGAAAGCATATCCAATGGGGAAGTACAACACAGAATGAATAAGATGTTATAGTGAACAAGAATAAAATATATATCAGACAAGGATTTTGTCCAAATTCTTTTTTTTAAAAAAAGATTTATTTATTTATGCATACAAGAGCTGGGGTGCAGGCCAGAGATGCGGGGGGTGAGAGGATTCACCAGAGACAGAGCAGGGAACAGAACAGGCAGATTGACTGAAATACACTGCTGAGGGGAGCAGCAGGAGAGACAGGAAAGGTCTGCCTCACCATGTGGGTTGCTCCCTGGCCAGCAGAGGATCAAACTCCTGCTACTGAGACTTTGGATTGCTTCATAGTGTGGTGCTTTAACCCCTTGCACCACCAGGGAGGCCCCTCCAAATTCATTTTAAGTCATCAAAAAATCAAACAGGTGTGGTCCAAAAGAAATTGATAAGCAATAAATAAAATAACTTAACACATGAAAAAAATGTCAAAGCCAACAGTTGCCAAAGAAATTAAAAACTAAACAATGAAGACATTTTCCTCCTATTAGGAAAAACTGAAAATACACAAGACACTGAAAATGATGAGGAAAACTGGTATGTTTACTTTTACCAATAACAAGGAATGTCAGTCCTACCCTATTACAAAGCAAAATGGCCCACTTCAGCCCACTAGTGAGCCCTCTCAACACTCAGCACTATCAAGCTATCACCAGCATTGTGGCATGAGCTCAATCCCTAGCCAGGGAGCTGACCCACATGGCACAGCAGACCTCTCCTGTCTCACCTGCTGCTCCCCTCAGCAGTGTGTTTCAGTAGATCTGCCTATTCTGCTCCCCACTCTGTCTCTGGTGGGTCCTCTTACCACTCACTACCAGCCCCTCCCCCAAGCCTCTGGCACATACCCCGCTCTTGTATGCATAAATAATAAAATAAATCTTAAAAAAAAACACAACAGAACCCAAGCTCCAAAAGAAGACTTTAAAAGTCAAAATCTGATTTGATTTTCAACTGTGATTCTTTCACTGAGCATTATTTGGTCTGACAAGGTCAAGTTGAACACAAAATGATAGGAATACATAAAGCTTGTGTTCCAGAGCAATATTTATTGAAATACTGAAGTATGCCTTCAGTATGGTTTCTTTGGGTTACTCCTTTTTACTTATCATCCTGGCAACCTGTTCTTTGATCACTAAAAGGTCCAGCATATCCAAGACCTTAGTATCCTTGGTCTTTAAGTAACCCACTCATTCTCACTCACAGACTCAAATCGGTTCCCACTTTAATTTCTTTCCTCCTCAACTCACAAAGACTGTTTACATAATCAAGAGTACAGAAACCCTAACAATTTAGGGTTTACATATTTATTTTCAAGTCTTAAGATTTTCAAGTTAAAAAAAAGTAGCACCAAGGTAAGAACAGTATTTCATCACAATAGAGCTAAAAAAATTGCATAAGAGAAAGAATACACACATCTCCCATAAATGATGCTAGTAATAAGCAAAAATATTCTCTATATACATGTGTGTATATATGTATAGATGAGAAAATACTTTTCTCATTTCAAAATGAGAATTATTTTTGAGAATTATTTCAAAATGAGGATTAATAAATATATCCATCAACATTTTTATGATTAACAAACAGCCCATAAATGCTTAAATGTAAGGTAATAACATGTTTGTGTTTTGTATAAATAAATATTTTATGAACAGGGTAAAGGAAGGAAGAGATCGATGCATTAAATTACACATGGGGGAAAGTGGCAAAATAAATAAGCTATTATTTCTATAATAAATTATGACAGTTGAAGCTCTCTAAACAAAATTACTTATTACAGAAGGGCTAAAATTAGCGCATGAGAAGAAAGCATCAAAGAACCTCTTAAAGTCCCAAATTAAAGGGTTCTGTCATGCCCCCCAGCAATGTGACCAAATAAATCACAACCTCTTTATCCAAATTTTCTTATCTGTCCTATGGATATAAGACCTGCTTAGTATAGAAAGATCATATATTACGTAATGTCTGTGAAAGTGAGCCAAATAAAAGTATGCAAATGAAAGTCATGACTGCTTTGGGAATCACATTAACAGAGCCTTAGACAGGAGTGGGACTGGCAGTCTCACTTGATCCTCTGAGTGTGATGGTTCAAAATGATTTTCTAGCCTGAACTGATTGGTAATAAAAAAAAATCTGATTAATATAAAAATATGTAAGTAAAATGAAATCAACATATGATCACCAAATTCATCCATCTTGTTTCTGCTGAAAAGCTATATAGGTTTTGGGCCTCCCTGGTGACGCAAGGGGTTAAGGCGCAACCTATGGAGCTATTCGCAGCCACTGCAGCACGTGTTTGATCCCCAGCCAGGGAGCTACCAACATGGTGCAGCAGACCTCTTCTGTCTAGCCCACTGTTCCCCTCAGCAGTGTATTTTAGTCAATCTGCCTGTTCTGCTCCCCCCCGTCTCTTGTGAATCCTCTCACCCCTCAACACCTCTGGCCTGTACCCCAGCTCTTGTATGCATAAATAAATTAATCTTTAAAAAAAAAAGGCTAAAGATTAATTTATTTATGCATACAAGAGCTGGGGTACAGGCCAGAGGCGTGGGGCGGGGGGGGGGTTGAGAGGATTCACCAGAGACTGAGTGGGGAATAGAACAGGCAGATTGACCAAAGTACACTGCTGAGGGAAGCAGTGGTCAAGTCAGGAGAGGTCTGCTGCACTGTGTGGGTTGCTCCCTGGCTGGCCAGGAATCGAACTCCTGCTGCAATGGCCACAGATAGCTTCATAGGTTGTGTCTTAACCCTAGCACCACCAGAATGGACAAATGGTAAGCACTGAGGTGACTCACTTACAAGGTATATATTAAGTCACCAACCAAAGAGGATCTAAGGTTCTTCACCTTCTGGTCCTCACTTGGCACTCAAGGGCCGAGTGTTTTGTTTGCCCAACAAAGGCTCATCTTACAGATGTTTCACAAAAACCTAACATTTCAAGATAAATGAAACTGAAACAGAGATAACAGCTAAAATTTTCAAGGACAATTTTTTGTTTATTTCATAAAAGGCCTTTAATAAATGTTCAACAATTCATGCAAATTCATTCAACTGTTTCCCCTAAGAGATATCTTTTTTAAAAAAAGCCAACTGCATAAAGCCCATGCCTTGAGGTTACTTATCAGAGTATGTTTTTTTTAAATAGTAATCTTCTAAGAATTCTGTTCCTAACCATTTTGCTTCTAAAGAAAAACAAACCAAGACAAGAAACAGAGAGGAAAAGAGAGGAGAAAGAAGCCTTATAGGAGCTAATACCTGAAGCAACTTAAGTGGCTTAGCTTCAATTAAAATTTTATTGGTTACACCTGCAACAATCGGAGGACATCAGGTTGGTGGCTCAGTTCCAACTACTTGGTAGAAGATGAGTAGGCACAGCCATAAGACACTGGAGCTGTACCTGACGATGACCTATCTAACTCATTGACTCACTAAATGGAGGGGAAAATACTAAGTAGGTAGAACCTATTTTAAATTCAGTCCCCTTTTGAAGATGCTGATTTTTAAGGTATAAAATTCATTCAAATAAATCAAGAGACTACAAAAACAAAAGCAAAAAACACAAACACCGCAGAATCCCTCATTTATTTCAGAACACTTTTATTCCTATTAATTATTCTTCATTACATTTGTTCTATTCTGACTAATATTAAAAGTCACTAACTGGATGAATGAATTACGCACTCACCAGAACACACCAAGACCCTAGTTACCAGGCATTTGTCTATTTGTCCCAGTCCACCTAGTTAAAGTGTTGTATTTATTTTTACTAAGTGTGGTATACTGTTATGTTTTGCCTAATGTCAGTTTGTGGAGTAATCATTTTAAAATGAAATAGTGCCCATGAAAAGATTTCAAATACAGCTTCTATAATTCCTAACAGATGTTATTAACACAGTTTATAAGAAGAGTTTATACTGTTAACAGGTTTAGAAAAGCATTCACTAACAATTGATTTTTGTAATTGAGCTTTTAGTGGCATAACAGCATTTTGTCATCTTAAAAATCATCTTGAAAGAGAACATAAGAATGTGGCAGAGAAATCCTTCTCTCTCTCTCTCTCTCTCTCTCTTTACACACACACACACACACACACACACACACACACTCTATACATGTGATTCAGAATGCATTCGTGAGACACAAAACTCGAATTGTAAACTGTCCTAACAAGGGTTTCATGTAACACAAGTCAAGTTTCCAAAGGAAAAGAATGGAACTTGAATTTCTTGACTGGCCAGCAGCTGGAAATGGATGAATTCTCCAAAAGGCTGCTCTGTCTCATTCCATTCACACTCACTGAATATGGCATTCACACTGCCATTACTAAAGTTTTACCCAGAATTAAAGTGATTTCTCAACTTGCTGAAGACTGTTTTAAGAACAGTTTTAAGGGTGGAACCACAGACTGTTTTAAGGGTGGAACCACAGACATGACAATGAAAACAAACTATCTGAGGTATCTATTTGGAAATCAGAGTTTGTTCTGAGTTTATATATACTGCCTTACAATGTAGAACTATCAGTTTCAGTTCCATTAACATTATAAACTATTACAAAACTGTTGAAGTTTAAACTATCACAACAATCTTTCCAAAGCTTTGTCATTACTATGGCAACTTACACGTGGGGCTCACACAATACATTACCAACAGTATGCTGACATTTGAAGCAGAAGGAAATCATTAGCGACAACGCAAAGGATGAAACAGTTTGCATGTTTAAGTGGGAATGGGAGACTGGAAACAGACATTTCTCAAACTTCTTAAAAGTAGGCTTCGCCGGGTTTTCTATTCTCTCAGCGAATAGTATGGACAGGGGATTTTAACCCACCAGTAATATAGCAGATATCATAGCTTTTACAACCAAAGGTTAATTCTTGAAACCTATTTCTACTCTTATTTCTCAAAAGCAGAAAGTTTACCTGGTCCTGTCTCTCAGTGCCGGCTCGCTCCCTCCCTGTCCCTCTCCCCCTCCCCAACTCTCACATTACTGATCTCATACTTCCTCCACCCCTTGTCCACCTCTCAGGCAATCTGTGATCTAAAGATGCTGATCTCTGATTTAGGAACTTCTGGGTATAATGAAAGTATTAAGTCTTCAAATAAAGATCTTGATCACAGCCACAAATCTATCAGCCAAAAAGTCCCTATAACACCAGTGTGATAAAATGATGAATTTTAATCAATAACAGGTCTGAAAAGGGTTGAATAAGAGCAGTAAAAAACTACCCTGAACAGTGTTTAATGCATATTAAATGCTGACAAACGCTTAGTTTATTTTCCCCTTCCTTTTTTCCTAACTTTAGTAAGAGGTGACCGACATCCAAGATGAGGTGGCTTGCCCAGGGTGCCAGGGATGTGGACGACAGGGTAGCACTAGGTCCCTACCCTGAATACGTTCTCCTATGCCATGGTTGCTCCTCATTTGATGACATGTGATAACATCTTTAAATACATCCCAAATTTTAATATTTTCACTTACATTTATATGAAATTCTTGTTCAACTAGTAGTTGACAGAAACCTAAGTTCCTTCTAGAGCCTGGGCACTTTTAATCTAAACGATCTTTAGCACAAAGGCAGCAAGAACAGAAAATTAGGTTTAGAAACAACTCCCACGAAAGCATTAAGGCTGCACTGGCAGACAAGCTATGGGAGATTGTTCCAAGCCTCATTGGGGCACATAAATACTGCCAGCACAGTCATTATCACCAACAGAGAGGCAAAGAGAATATGTCACGTGGCACCAGAACCAGAAACTGTGGTTTGTTCTCATGGATGAAATGTCATGTGACAATCATTTCTTCAGAGCATAGAGTGGGCTTCTAAGCAGCTCTCAGGAGATTTCTGTTGCTCTCCACAGGTTTGCTCAGGGATCAGTTCTTTTCACAGAGGAATTAGGCAATTACCAAGAAAAGCAAGAAAATAAGGATTATAGGCATTTTCTCCCCCACAGCTTTCTAAAAAGTCGCACTTAAAGCTTTAAAATTAAGATTAAGAAAGGTACTTTTTACTACACAATGTTTTATTCCTCTGTGACAACTCTTATACTTTTTTTGAGTCAATTCCTAGTCTTGTGGGTACCTTCTCTTTGAAATCTTACTAAAAAAAATGTAACAATCTAAACTCATAGAGAAGTTCTGGGAGGATAAAGACCAAACCTCAATACAGTGATCTCCATGAAGGGAAGTCAATGGCCAAGGGCTGGTGGTGCAGGGAATTTGTTACCATGTGCTACTTAAATACTTTTTTAAATTGCCCTTAAGAAGAGTTTTTAGATGTACTATAGACATAAGATTTCTTAAAAATATATAGGTTCCAATTGTAAGAGCTCACCACTGTTGGTTTTAAGCAAACTTTTAGTAGATAAACATACACTTTAGTAGATAAACATACAAACATACACTTCTTTGAGTAGTAATGTTTTCTAATTAAGAGGCACTGAATCTTACTTCCCATGTGTTACTTTTCATGTGTAGGGTACATCACTCTTAAACATATAAATATCCTCAAGTATTAATCAACTTACAGGAATAATGCCTTTAAAAGTTTGTAAATGAAAAGTGAAATAGATAACTCTAAAAGAGCCATTATGCATTCACTTCTTTTCTGACACAGATTTCATCATTTGGGGCACGAGAACTGGTGAGCACCATAAGCAAAAAAGCTGTTCAAAAAAGACCTTGGGAGGCATGGCAGTCTACTCACTTTCTCCAAGCCAAAAATGGAAAAGAAGAGATTCATTTTAAGACACAAGGAAGGGTGTGTGCCTGGAAGCATGGTCTATTTTTAGGAATTATATTGGGAAACTTTTTGTGAATGTGTGTAGGGGGAAAAAAACAGTAATAGGTGGCAACTACATGAGTTCATTGTACAGCAGTTCTGTCCCACATGAACTAGGTATATCTTCAAAAGAGCCTGTAGTTTTAACTCTTAAACCCAAAGATTCATAAGGAAATGGGGCTCTTGGAAGACTTCATTGTGTATTTCCAATAAATACATTTTAAGTCTGCAAAGTCTCAAATAAACGTGCTGGCAATAAATAGTCACACATTTTAAGGAACTGCCAAAGATCCTAGAAGCATGCTAGCCTAGAACTGGGAAGGGATGAAAGCACTCAGATACCTCTGACCATGTGATGCCCAGAAGGATAACGTACAGACATCCTACTGCTAATCAAGTGAGAGCCAGCTAATATTTTTTCTTGGACGCTGTTCATGACTGATATGCTTTAAAAATAAACAGCCAATCAGGTTGCGGGATTTGTGTTAAGAGGAATACTTTTCCACTGACAAATCCTTGCTTTTCTGTTGGTATAACTATTCTTTTTTTTTTTGAAGATTATTTATTTATACAAGCACTGGGTACAGTCAGAAGCGCGGGAGGGTGAGAGAATTCACCAGAGCCAGAGCGGAGAGCAGGCAGACTGACGAAGTACACTGCTGAGGGGAGCAGCGGGGGGCAGGAGAGGTCTGCGCACCATGTGGGACCCTCCTGCGGTGGCCGGGGAGAAGCCGGGGATCGAACCGGCGCTGCAGAGGCTGCGGGCAGCTTCACAGCCCAGCGCTCAACCGCTGTGCCACCGGGGAGGCCCGGTATAACTATTCTTAACCATTGATTAAAATATTTTTTTGGAAGTGGGCCTCCCTGGTGGCGCAGCGGTTGAGCGCTGGTCTGCGAAGCTGCCCGCAGCCTCTACAGCACCGGTTTGATCCCCGGCCACCAGCAAGGGTCCCACATGGTGCGCAGACCTCTCCTGCCGCGCCTACTGCTCCCCTTAGCAGTGTACTTCATCAGTCTGCCTGTTCTGCTCCCTGCTCTGGCTCTGGTGAATTCTCTCACCCTCCCGTGCTTCTGACTGTATCCAGTGCTAGTATAAATAAATAAATCTTTAAAAAAAAAAAGTATAAAAAAAAATTTTTTTTGGTAGTATGAATGTTCTTCACTTCCTTAGTAGGCTTATCTACAGAGGAAGAATAGCCAAAAGAGCTTACCATTTACCAGGCTCTTTTCAGCCCTCTCCAACTATGGTCTAGGAAGAGAAAGTTAAAAACAACTCTTCACCTAGCAAGAACAATCACAAGATTGTGGATAGTTGCTCTTATTTTACAATAATGTTAACCAAATATGGTTAAAATGGTACTGTGGAAAATTTCTATTATTCTCTGAAAAATAAATTGAATAAAGTAGATCATAGCAGTATTCTGTCTTTAAAATTCCACCTCACAAGGGCCATGAATTTAGCACATTTGAGATCAAGAAGTTTCCTGCTTAGAAAGTTCTTCACAGCTCCATGTTTAACTAGAAAGCCACACCCACACTAAGTCATAATCCTGGTACTGCTTTTGAAATATAAGTTATGTTACTAAAAGACTGATTGGCCACATGTGATCTGCTGACAGCATGAGTTATTCATAATATTCAGACTAGTTAAATCAGTACATAAGTCAGCCAAACCTTAATACCATATATTACCTTTAGAGAATATATGTCATCAAAGTAAGGGATAAGAAAGGATCAAACTGAAAAAAAAAATAGTAAGGTATATACGCAAATTAAGTTGATCAGTCAATTCTTACCTTTTTAGATCAACGGTTGTCACACTAAATACAACTCCTTTAAGCCAAAGAATCATGAAGAGTCTCTGGGAAAAGGGACAGTTTCCTATGCTTTCACCATCACTGCCAGCCTGGGGAATAGAAATAGAAATAAACATTAAAAAACAAGATCAAAATGATGATACTCAAAACAACAGAGTTTTTTCTGAATTTTAATCAAGAATACCTAAGACAGGAAAAGTTACATTTTGGAAGGTGGAGTAGAAATCTGTGCTTTATCATTTTGCTCTTTATTTGCCTCTCTCTTAGAAATGGCCAGTCTAGTACACATTGCCCAGAGAACTTTTTCTAACAATAGGAATTACCTGTATTCCCACTGCCCAATGCAGTAACCATTTGTAACATATGGCTGATGAGTACTTAAAATGTGGCTAGTTTGAGTTTAATTTTAATAGGAAATTTAGGAACCAAAAAATATAGTAACTGAAGGGGCCTCCCCGGTGGCGCAGCAGTTGAGCGCTGGGTTGCGAAGCTGCCCGCAGCCTCTACAGCACCGGTTCCATCCCCGGCTGCTCCCCGGCCACCAGAGGAGGGTCCCATATGGCGTGCAGACCTCTCCTGCCGCCCGCTGCTCCCCTCAGCAGTGTACTTCGGTCCCTCTGCCTGCTCTGCTCCCCGCTCTGGCTCTGGTGAATTCTCTCACCCTCCTGCGCTTCTGACTGTACCCAATGCTTATATAAATAAATAAATAAATCTTTTAAAATATATATATATATATATAGTAACTGAAATAAAAGGATGGGCTTAACAGCCAAAGAGAAAACAGAAGAAAGAATGGGTAAGCCAGAGGATAAAACAATTAAAATTACTCAATTAAACAGAGACAATATAAGCTGAAAAGTAACACTTCTCATATATTGTCATGTTTTAAGGATCAGTTTTGAGAGCTTCATTGTATGCTAATGACCCAACAATTTCATATGTAGAAAAATGTATTCAGTAAAAACATTTATACAGATGTCCAAAGATACAAGTAAAAGGGGAGAACATGGAAGCATTATTTGTAATAGCAAAACCTAGCAGTAAAGAATGTGTTAAATTACAGACCACCACACCAGAAGATAAAAGTTTCAGCTAACCATTGGGCTTTGCTGGATGGGGGCAGAGTCAGGGATTTTTTTTTTAAAGATTTATTTATTCATTTATACAAGAACCCGGGTGCAGGCCAGATGCGTGGGAGGGTGAGAGGATTCACCAGAGCCAGAGCGGGGAACAGAACAGGCAGACTGACGAAATACACTGCTGAGGGGAGCAGCAGGCGAGGCAGGAAAGGTCTGCGTGCCATGTGGGACCCTTGACGGTCGGCCAGGATCAAACCAGAGCTGCAGAGGCTGTGGAGAGCTTCACAGTGCAGTGTTCAACCGCCTGCGCCACCAGGCGAGGCCCTGGGGTCAGGGATTTTTGTTTGAAGTAGCTATTGTCCATACTTCTGTCCTATTTGGGCTGCCTATTTCCTGGTTCTTTGGCTACAGAGAGCAAGCAGACTTTCGTTGGAGCTTTCTGTCCCCAGGTTGCCAGCTTCCATAGCTCTAAGTTGCGACATCTGAGGCAAAGAACCAGGAATTTCATCATCATCTCCCTTATCTTTCCACAGGCAATTATCTCAGAAGTATTAAATTTAAAAAGCAAAGTAAAAAAAAAAAATGTAGTATATTCATGCAAAAATGGAATTTAAAAATAAAAAGCAATGAAGTAAGGATATACACACAATAACTTGAATGAACTTTGAAAAATCATGCTAAATGAAAGCAGCAGTCATAAAAGATCACATATTATATATTTCATTTATATCGAATGTCCAAAACAGGCAAACCCATAGAAATAGAAAGTAGATTAGCGGTTGCCTAGGCTGGGGGGAGAGGGGAGGAAGAAAGGGAATGGAAGTTGCTAATGGGTACAGGGTTTCTTTTGTGGGTAATAAAAAAATGTTCTAAAATTAGACTGTGGTGATGGCTGCATGACTTTACGACTGTACTCACAACCACTGAATTATACACTTCAAATGAGCGGATTATATGATACCTATGAATCTCAATAAAGCTGTTTTTAAAAATATATAGTCACAGATTACAAGTACAAATACACACACAATGCATAAGATTTTATATTGGAACATCGAGAGTTTTTGAATTATGATTGAACATTACAAAAACATATAAGTCTAGAATGTTTTCTTCCAAATTAGAAAATTCAAATACTCAAAGTGAAGATATGAATAATCCCACTGGCGCAAAAATTACCACAAATTCCCAGATAAAGAGTGAGTCTTAGCATTCATTTCAGTTTTGTTTCTTATAAAAGGGGTAGTTTTGTGTGACTTGCTATCTGGAGTTCCTCTCACACACTCACTATTCCTCACCCTCCTCCCTCTGGACCTCTGTTGTAATTCTTGAATTTCCTAACACCCGTATTTAATCAGCAACTGCTGGATTAACTCTTACATTGCAGAATAGAGGTCAGTGGCAGATGCCATAAATATCTTAATGTTTTACTAATTGAAGGTTAAGGAACTGCTCACTTAGAAAACCTAGTTTAATCAGTTTTCAGAATAGTCAGATTTTAAGCCACCCAAAAAGAGCTTTAAACTTCATTCCTCTCTATTTCTTTGTGTTTATGGGACCAGGGTCAGGGTGATGATGACTAGACCATGTATATACCCTTTCCTACTTTACTTGGAATCTAAAGGTAAGAATGGGCTCCTGATCATTAAATTATTTTCTTTGACACAATCTCAAGAGGATATATAGAACATATTACCAGAAGAATGAACCTAAAAACGATAATACCTCATTTACCTTTGTGTATCTAAACTAGCTGTCTGAACACACAAAATGGCTTACTTTTATATAAGTGAACTAAAAGTCACAAAACCACATGTTAAATGAAAGTCACCTGACTTCTAGAATCTGTTTCTTCATAGTTTTTGCTAAATCACAGGCTGGAACCAAGGTTTAGAGTCTAAAGGTTTAATTAGATGTTATCCTTTATCCATATGCAGTGCATATGGGAAATAACAAGGTTTAAAGTCAGACTATAGACTTCACTACATTAGCTGTGTGATCTTCAGCAAGTTACTTAACATCTGTGCAACTTGTCTTCCTTCACCATGTTATTATAGGGATCAAATCATTTAGGGTACACAGAGTTCCTAGTACATGGTAAGAGTTGAGTAAATATCACTTGACTTTAAAGATACTTCACGCACAGAACTCAAGGTCTAACAACAGGTTGTTAGAGTTTAAGTACTTAGACATTCGAATCCCAACATGACTTTATTCTTTCAGAAAATGAGGGGGAAGGATCTAAGTGTTTTCTACATTTTAATTTCTTCTAAATGACATATAGCATGGCCTTATGTTCTAAGAAGTACAGTCTATATAAAGTTTAAAGTCTACTAAATGGAGGGAAGCAAATATATCCTTTCTTTAAGATGTTAAAAATCTCTTTGCCATGCAAAGAATATATCATTGCATCCTGGACATAACTATCTTATAAAACCAACTCTATAAATAAGGTCAAAGGATATATAATAGAGGAATTACCATATGCCGTGCTTTGCCTATATAAATAAAACACAGATAATAGGAGGACATTGGAAAGACCTTAACCCTTTTACTGTTCAATGTACCCAATTCATGAAGTACACCCTACAAAGAAGAGCCTATGTAATTTAGAGTAGAACTAATTACCTTGAACTTACAGGACGATATTCAACTACAGGGCTAAAACAAACTCCAAGCTAGGCTGTTAGAATTCACATGCAACATGTGTCTTATTTAGGATGAACTCTGAGAAAGCAAGCCCTGATAGGTATTGATCTAATTAATCCTTATATCTTCTCACTCAACAGAGGATAATAGGTAAGAGCCAGACTCCCAGACAAATTTCATTGCTTAGTGGTTTAATTTCTTTGGGCCATATTTCCTTTTCAATAAAATGGGAACAACACAAACTACCTCAGTGAGTGGTGGGGGCGGGGTGGGGTGGATAAAATCCAAGGGTTTAGGACAACACACTGCTCTGAAATCAAGGGATGGGGAGGGAGTTGTTCCATGTATATACCCTTTCATACTTTCTGATATTTGTACTAGGCACGCGAATCTTTCATTTAAACTTTTTAAAAAGCAAACAAACAAAAACATTCCCACCCCAAATATATGAAGATGAAATAAAGCACAAAGTCATAGAATGAGGGATAAGCTCTGAAAATGAAAGCCATCTTTGTAACAAAAATATGTATGAGCAGGATTCTCAAGTCTCAGGATACCTGGGAAACAAAGAAATGGATTTAAAATGCAGATTACCAGCTTTCACCTCAGATACTCCGAATCAGTGTTTTTTGTGGTGGGTCCAGGAACTTGAAATTTTTAACAAGCACTCCCAGCAATTCTAATTCTGATGTATTTGATAAGCAGACAATATTTTAGTAAATACTGACACAGAGAAAAAAAAATGCCAAAAAATAAAGATTGGGACGACGTCTACTCTGTGGTTAAACTTTGAATTCCTCATGATGCCTTTTGGACTCTGCTCTTTGTGGGCCAGCAACCTGGTTAGATTTGGTAAGTAACAGCCTTCTCCCACATTTTAAAGGAACACCACATATGTTGTCTCAAATTTGGACATATCAAGATTTAAACCAATCCAGCCTAAAGTCCCTTATAACCTAGACATTCAAATTCGAGAACATTCTTATTCTTCATAGACTAAGAGGCAGAGGTAAGTACCTTTTAGTGTAAAACAGAACATTTGATCTTAAGAGTTTGACTTAAGCCTAAATATAATGTTAAGGACAATTATGGTGACCCAAGGTCCTTAATGCTATAGGACGATTAAATCTAGTTTAAAAGAACAATTATAAATTTTTATTACTGTACTAAACTACTAAATGATCTGACTGGTCAGGAAAAAGAAAAGATTCTGTTGTGATGTTAGAGGGTAGGCTCAATACCTGACCTGCAAAATAGTCTGGGTTTTCCAATTATAAGCCATGTAGTCATGGGTAAATCACTTAACCTCTTTGGGTGCTGGATTTCTATTCTGGGAAGTGGAGGTGGGACAGTGGGAGTCA